TCCTTCCGGAAGCATCCTTCAACTTATGTCTTAGCTTTCGAAACATGTTCATTTGGTATTCGTTGAAATTCAACAACTTTGAGAATTCCTAGAACTCTCACCGGGGATTTTAGAACTTCTGCTTGGAGTTTCAGAATTTCGCAGAGCTTTCGTAATTCCATGCAGCTTCCCGAACTACCACAGCTACTAGATACTAGAAGCTGTCTAAGCATTTGCAATTATAAGAAAACTCCTGATTTTTTTTTTTAATTCTAACAATTTAACAATGTTGGTACTCTCAACATCAAGTACAAACAAATTCTCGGAAAAAAATCCAAGATTCACTTTTGGAAGTGCACAGAACAGCCTAACCATTCGGAGCTGCTGAACCTTCAGGAATTTCTGGAAATTCGAAACATAATAAATATCCATACTCCCAACAATCAGCACAAAATCATTTTCCCGGAATCCATGTCCCCTTAAGCTTTAGGAAGTACTTTAATACTTCAGAGACATGAGATAACGAATCCCCATCCCCAAGCTCCTCCGCTGATCCTATCCTTCCACAATGTACCCCTCCAACCTCGGGTAAGTCGCGTGAATTTTGTTACAGATAATTATCGGCTCCGTAAAGCTAGCGGAATTGAGCCTTCCGAATAAACGAGCCAGATAAATAAAAAACTCCGGGAACTGCTAAACCATTCTAGACTCTGACTCCAGGAATGCAATTAACTCTCCTATTCCTCCTATTATTATTGCCCCGTAACGTGGGTAGATCACCTTTTCGTGGTACGTTACGGGATGTAAGATCTACCACCGATTCCTAGTCTTGACTACTTCAAACTAGGGGAACAGGATTTTTCAGTAATCAAAGGAACACATCTTAGTCCTTGTTACTTTTTATGCCTTGTTGATAGTGATAAGTCCTCGGGTTGACTGGACCGAGGATGATCTTGAAACAAGGAAAAATTAGTTAGTTAGTCTTTATCTATGTGATTCCTAATCTTCTATTCGTTGTTCCCTAGTTTGAAGTGGTTAAGACTAGGGTTCTGATGCATGGTCACTATCGGTGTCATTCCTTAATTTTGTTGCTAAGGAATCCAATTTTGACTGACAAAGGGGCGCGCCTTTGGAGGGTGTTCCAACACTCCGAAGGGTATAAATAGCGGAACCTTTCAATTAAAATCGATTCCTTGCGATGAAGGCAAGAATGACAACTGTATCAAAACCGAATACTTCATCATTTTTTAATAGTGATGAAGTAATACAACATGCACTAAACTAAGGACACGGGAACGGGATATACTACAATAGATCAAATTACTGGTCGCAGTAGTTTTATGTCCCGAACAGAGGAAAAAAATTCCTCCTATTTCTTCTTCTTAACTGGTTCCATGAAACTGCAGGAATTGCAGAAATGTCCGGTTCACCCAGAACAACTCACAGAACTCTCCAAGAACTTTCCGAAATTGAAACTTTGCAGAACTTGAAAATTTTCTGGAACTCGTTTCTCTCATAACATAATGCTTTGTACATTACGACGCATCGCGTAATTTCCGAACTCCTGGAAAACCCAGAAACTCCTGCAGCTGCCAATAACACCATGTACCGTCAACTTAGAGGTTTTGGGTGTTCCAAGAGTTCGCATCAGTTCATCTAGATTCGAAGGTTTTCAGAAGCCTTTGAAAAGAATCTGGATTAAACCAAATTCCTGGAGCACCGGAGTTTTCGAGAAATTCCTGTTTCCGGAGCAATGAGAGTGCTCGGAGTGTCGGGAATTCCAAGAGCTATGAGTGTGGAGTGATGTTTTGAACTTTCTGGAGTTTCAAGAGTTTTGGAAGTTTTCGGAAATTCATACATTTTGGGAGAACTTCAATCATGGAATTCTGGCAGCATCGAGGTTTTTCCGTGGTTCTGGGTGTGAATTGTCATTCAAAAAATCCCAAAACTAGTGAGGTGAAAGTTTAGAGTGGTTTCGGAGAACCAGATTTCCAGGAAACTCTTATGGTTGCTGTCGTTCCAGACACTCTTTGAATTCTGAGAGTTCTCGCGTAATATTTTAAAAGCGCCTATCAGCGACTCAAATTGAAGAACTCTCGCGACATTAGCAGCTGAAAGAACTCTCGCCTAACACTTGAAGATGGCCTATCAGCTTTTTTAAACAAAACTTGTATTGGTCCTTTCGCGCGAACCAAAGCTCGCCTTCGTCCTTTTCAAATGTTAAACGATACTTCTTTCAGCTTCTAATATTGCGAGGGTTTATAGTCGAGTGTGAGAATTTTAGAGATTTCCTAAAGCTGTTTGAAAGTTCACGAAGTTCCGAAATAGTTAAAAAGCTGACTAAATCAATCTTGAACTTTTGGTGGTTGATGCAGTTACTAATGTTTCGGGAGTTCTACAGCTATTGTAGATGTGGAAGTTTTTAAATTCTCAGAATATCAGAATTAAGTTTTGTTTCTCAAGAGTTCCAAGAATTCAAGAGAGTTGTTGGGGGAGTTCCCGAAGTGACTGGATTTTTGAAAGCTGCTGAACTGTCTGGAAGCTTTTTTGTCCTTATTAGATAACCTTTCAGTCATAGACTGGGTTATCTCTTAGGTTTGTAAGTATTACGGAATTACAAGAAATTCTTAGTGGTGGTAAAGTTCCCAAAGACATTAGAGTAAGTTTTCATAGTACTTGGTTTCCCAGAAATTCTTGGGATTGCTGAACACCCACAAGCTCTTGGAGTCCTAAGAGTTGTTTCACTTCTTAATGGAAGGGGTGTTCTAAAATTATTTTAGTCCTATATAGACTGTTCCAGAAAGTATAAGCACACTTTCAAAATAACAAAACTCCGGACAGTTCGGCGGATTCATGTCTTTCGGCACGAAACATACATTTTGACTTTTGTACCATTCTAAAGTGTCCTTTGCGTAATGACATGACGCCAAATCAGGCCAAAATACTACTTGACCTTCGTGCTGCCTGATCATCGGCAACAATCGCTTCTGGAGACATTCCTTAACGTATTTCTGAGTGTTCATCATCTCCGTTGTGATGTACGGACTAGATGTTTTACCACACTCGCATATTGCTTGCCAAACCATAACCTTCTTACCGAGTTTTTCGGTAAAAATTGCCTTCTCCGTTTCGGGGATGTCCTTGCCTTCGCTTACAGTATAGAATTGTGGTCCGGGAAGCGTTTTGTAATCTAGTTTCACGTACGTTTCGTCGTCCATTATTATACACCCAGAATTTCGACACAATAACGAATAGTAGAGTTGGCGGGCCCGTGGTTTCACGGACGCGGCCTGTTTTGGGTTCCTTTTGGGTTTTTTCTGCTTCCGGTATGTTTTTAGCCCAAGTCTTTCTTTGGCACGCATGACGTTACTCGACGAGGTCCCTAGTTTTTTCGCAACATCCCGAACGGAAGTCGCTGGTTTTCGTTTGTAGGCATCCCTGATCTTTTTATCGATATCCGGACTTATAGGACTGGATTTCCGGCCACTCTTCGGCGCATATTCAAACGTACACTGTTCTCTATATTTTTTAATCGCAGTTCGTACCGCACCCGAGGCTTACACCCTCTTCCTTGGCCAATTTTCTCAAGGAGAGTCCGCTCACAGTGCACCATTTGTGCACGATACTTTTTCGTTGTTCCGGAGTAAGACCACGCATTTTGACAGGAAACACAAAACTGAGCACTTTTTTGATGCTATGTCATTCAGAAATGAGCAAACAAAAGGACACAGCCAAAACATGTTGAAATATTTTATTATATTCAAAGTGACCGTTAAAATAAGGTGTGCTTATACTTTCTGGAACAGTCTATAGCATTTTTTTCAATTCCGAGGGTCCTAATGGTTGTTGGAGTTTTGAGAATTCTTGCAGTTCTTAATGTATTGAGAGATACACAGTTCTTGAAGTCAAAACTTCTTGAAATCTCCAGCAGTTTCGACAGATCCTACAGTTCTTAATCATTCAGGAGCTCTCCAGTTCTTTTTGATGCGCATGTTTTGAATTTCATTCAATCAAAGTGTGTTGTTACTTCGTACGTGAAGTTTACGATTTTTAAAGTTGGGAGGAAATGGTATACTAATATCAACATGAAGCTTTAGTGCAATAATTTATTAGTTAGAGAAAGTTCTGAATAGGTCTGATTGATAGTTCCACTAGAGTACGGCAGTGTGAAAATTGAACAGAGGTTGAAATTGAGCGAAGGGCCATTAATGCGACAGTACTGCAAATGCACACTCCTTTACTTAGATCATACATTGATGGATGAGGGGATTGTTTGAAATCTAGATCTGGCCAGAAGTTTCAGCAGTATCTGCAGTTGTGAAAGATATCACAGTGAACAGTTCCACGCCAACTGACGAGTAGATTTTATGTGTTCCTCTCCGAATTCCATGAAACTTTGCATAATTGTTCACTAAGGGCAATGAACCAAGTTCGTGCTGGAATTTGGCCATTTTGAATCACAACTAATTTTCAAAATGACGTATTCGATATTTTTCAATAAATCATAGCACGAAAATGGCTCATCTAATTAAAATTACGTCTGAGACAAAATAGTAGGAAACTGGATTGCCTTTAAGAAATAAAAAAGTACACACTGAAAAATACCACAAATTTCCGTCAAAAATGAAAAAAAAATCAGCTAAAATGTTTAATAACAAAAAAGCACATTTTTATTTTTAAACTTATCTAAAATGGTAACTTATCTAAAATGGACACAATTACACTTCAAAATTGATCATAGAGCATCATCTATTAGTACAAATTTTGAACATTTCTTCCACACATAATGTAATTTTAGTCCAGAAAAAAGTTCAAACAATTTACAAAAAGTTGATGTACAATACAAAAGTACAATACGGGTATTTTTTTTAAATGTTCAATTTAATTTAAATTTTGAAAAACGGGACACTATCAAAATTAAGATTGATTGAAAAAAACTTCGGCAAACTATGAATTACTTCAAGCCATAATTATAAGCAAGCACATTGAAATTCACCATAACTCGCTTTCTTTCGACCCAGGTGGAAAGTACGAATCTTCGACGGGGACGACAATGCCAAGGCGGGCTGGATTCCGGTCTCGGTGCTGGACATCATGCACACCGATCAGGCCGTGTTCGGTGAGAAAGCCAACGATGCCACCTATCGTCGTGAGTAAGTATATCCTATTCCACAAACTCTTTTAAGTGAACTAATTCCCTCCTCTATTGTGGTGTAGAGCCGTCGTTCGTGAGCTGATTGAAACTGAGGAGGAATTCGGCCGGGATCTGCAGCTGGTCGTCGAAAAGTACATCAAGTTCATCGACAATCCGGACAACAAGATTCCCCGGCAGATCCGCGATCACAAGGATGACATCTTCAACAACTTCAAACAGATCGCGGACTTCCATAATACGTAAGCATGCAGCGACGGCAAGCACGAGCGCTATTTTCAGGTCACACGGTTGGTTTAGGTCCAAAATGCTGCAACCATCTAACCAACCGACCAACCAAGCGTACAATTTTCCGCGGCTAATTTAATCTGAAATGCTGTTTTCTCCCGTTTTTTTCCCGTTTATGGTACCGGCCCGAACGGATGGGCAGTGTGCTGATCGAAGGTGTCAAGTACTACGCCAACAATCCGAAAATGATTGGCAAAACGTTCCTCCGGTTGGAGCGCGACTTTGACAAACACGTTCGGTACTGCCGCGATGCCCCGGTTGCGCAGGAGTTCCTCGCCGCCAACGACGCCGTGAGGGACTTTTTTATGGTAAGTACTACATATGATGGGATGTTTATAGCAAATCGTGGCAAAGCTTAGCACCGGTAGCACCACCTAGCGTTCGGTGATGGAAAACCACATGATCGGGAAAGTTGGTCGATTTGCTCGCTTTATCCAACCAGCTGCTGCGCAGCTCATAAATCTTCCCACTCGCGGAAAGTCTTCGTCGGTCGTCATCGTACGCATGTCAAGAAATTAGTTCTGCCCCGGCGGCATGTTTCGCTGATCCGTACCGGTCTCGGTTGACATGGTGCAAAGTGCGATGTTGTTGTTGTTTGTTGCATTCCTTTTTCCGCTACATGTAGGGATTTAGTTGGTTTTGCTGGTACAGCTGGGTTCAGTCTATCACGTGCGGTAATAAGGAGTGTTTCTTTGAATGTCACAGTTATGCGGTACGTTAACATGGGCTGTCAGTACCGTTGACACGGTACTTAGGGAGTGCAACACTGTTGCGGGTAGCTTGATTTATGCAGTGTTGGTGCTTCTTGGAAAGGGAACACTACGCCCGAATAGATCGGTTAATCAAACGGACCATGACTTTTATTCGAATGTCAATCCATCGTCAATGAAAGTTCGATGGAGACGCATCATACTTCTTACCTCTATGACATCGAATCGATGCTTTGGGCTACATTGGTGTTCAGAGTCATTGGGTGGCCATCCCAGGTAACAATTTGATGCTGAATAAGTGTTGTTCAATCGATTTTAATTCAGCCTTAATTTGAATAATTGATGTACATATACCACGTTAATCTTTGTTCAGCTTTTAAACACCTTTTTTTAACTTTAAATGATCTTTATTTCTGGTATTTGTGTGGTTTTACATGTATGAATTAAAAAGTGACACAGATGCGTCTTTTCAACTTTAGTTCATTTTGAAATGTTTAATTATTATTTAAAGTTCCTAGTTCTTTCAGGCCTGTTTCTAAGAATGACCACCTTGGTGGTATTGGTTTGTTTTAAATTGGAAAAGGGAAACTACTTATAACTACTATTTACAACTACAACTACTATATCCACCTAACCTACTATATACAAATTGCTTATCAAAGCATGTTCTGATACATTGCATTTTTGTGCAAATTTAGTCTTCATTTCGTTAATTCTGGAATCTATTTTTGGAATGTCTGCCTCTTCGTGTAAATTTATTATTCTAGTGTCGAAAAGACGATCGACGATCATCCTAAGTACTCTGTTTTGTGCCACCTGGACTTTGTTCCTGTGAGTTTGAGCACTTGATTCCCACACCGGTGCAGCGTAGAAAATTGCAGGTGCTATGATTTGATTGTAGACAGCCAGTTTGTTAACCCTGCAGAGGCGGGATCTGCGAGAAATCAGCGGATACAAACACCTAACTAAGCTTGAACACTTAACTAACGTCTTTTCTATATGCGAGCGGAACAGGAGCTTCTCATCGAATACCATTCCAAGGTACGTAACTTTAGCAGACCACTCAACCGTTGTGCCATCCGTGACTACTGTGCAAGAAGGTGCTGGTATCAGTTTGGGTGATTGTCTATGCAGGAACATGATAGTTTGGGTTTTGGAGACGTTGATTTTGATTTTCCAAGTTTTTGCATAGTCAGCAAAGGTGTCAAGGCATCGTTGTAGTCTTTTTTTGTAATTTCGCGAGGCATTCTGCCCTTGACTGATATCGCGGTATCATCTGCGAACAGGAAGAACACGCAACCGTCTCCGAGGGGAGGAATGTCAGAAGTATACAAGCTGTAGAGCAAGGGGCCCAAGAGTCATTCTGCCTTGCGGAATGCCTGCCGGGATGGAAAATTTGTCGGAGAAACAACCATTCAACGATACCTTGAACGACCTTTGCTGAACGTAATTACGGGTAATTTTGACCAAATGCAACGGTAAATTGAAGTTACAAAGCTTGTATATAAGTCCGTTATGCCAGACATTGTCAAACGCCTTTTCGACGTCTAGCAAGGCCATGGCTGTGGACTTGGATACAGCCTTGCTACTTCGAATGTTGTTCGTCACCCGTACTAGTTGATGAGTGGTGGAGTGTCCTTTCCTTTGATGAGTTTTCAGCACCTTGGCTACCTTCCAGAATGGACGGGAGCGGTCATCCAGATTCTGGACAACACGCCCGAAACTTTCATTTCGGATTGAGTCAATTCTGGAAGCAATCTGGCTGTTCAGATCGGTCATTTCACGTTTCCTCGTTAGATCTCCAGTCCTCTGAAACTGGCGTCTAAAGGGCGAACACGAAATTATTGCGACACCGAAAATGTCATGCCAATTTTCTTATAATGTTTAGAATCAAACCAAAATTTAGGGTAGTTTTATACATATATTTACTTCAAAAATCAAAAGAAAAGTTAATCGATGGAGCCTTGAGTGTAAAATTGAACGCATTTTCGCTTGATGCCCTCCATCAAAGTCCTTACAGTGTCATCCGGTACCAGTTTCTCAGTTTTTTTTCCATTTTCTTAACATGTCCTTCTCGTCTTTGACTGTCTTCTTGCTCTTCCGAAGTTCCCGCTTCATTATTGCCCAGTACTGATCCACCGGACGCAGCTCCGGACAGTTTGGCGGATTCATGTCCTTTGGAACAAAATGGGCAGAATTGGCCTCATACCACTCCAGGACACTTTTAGAATAGTGGCATGATGCCAAATCTGGCCAAAATAGCGGAGCTTCGTCGTGCTGCTGCAAGAACGGCAAAAGGCGCTTCTCGAGGCACTCAGATTTGTAGATCTCGCCATTTACTGTGCCCTTTGTCACGAAAGGCTCACTCCTCAGTCCGGAAGAGCAGATGGCCTGCCAAATGAGATATTTGGAGGCGAACTTCGACATTTTCTTCTTCTTAAATTTGTCGTCCACATCGAACTTGCTCTTGCCGGTGAAAAACTCCAACTCCGGAATTTGCTTAAAATCGGATTTTATATACGTTTCGTCGTCCATCACACAGCAGCCATATTTTGTCAGCATCTTCTCGTAGAGCTTCCGTGCCCGAGTTTTAGCCGTCGATTGTTGCCGCTCATCGCGGTTTGGAAAGTTCTGTACCTTGTATGTATGTAGTCCAGCTCTCTTCTTTGCATTCTGGACGTAGCTCTGCGACATGCCGATCTTTTTAGCCAAATCACGGCTTGAGACGTTGGGATTTGCTTTAATCATCCGCTTCACCTTTCCCTCCGTCTTTTTGTTCTCCGGTCCCAGTTTTCTTCCAGCTCCTTTGCCGTGGTCCAACGTCAACCGCTCCTGGAACCGCTTCAACACTCTGGAGACGGTTGAATGGTGAATGTTCAACATTTTTCCCAACTGCCGGTGCGACAGGTCAGGAAATTCCAGGTGTTTGGAAAGAATTTGTTCTCTCAACTCGCGTTGGTTCACCTCCATTTTCGTTGAATCGAAAAACACGACTTCGAGTTTGACAGCATGTACACAATACACATCAATGAGAAAGTGTGCAAAATTTGGTTGATTTTTACTCAATGGTAAAAAAGTTATGCCCTGTTGAATGTGTCGCAATAATTTCGTGTTCGCCCTTTAGTCTTTGCGCAGGTTTTGAGCAGGTGTCACGTGGGTGCCGACTTCAGCCACCACCGGTTGGTAGTCGGAGCTGAGATCGTTGATCGCCATCGGTTTGGATAGTCCAAAGTTCGATAGAAAAAAGTCCAACGTGGAAGGGTTTCCCGCCGGAGAGATGAATGTCGGTTCATCCGGAAATTGGACTGTATACAGCCCAAGCTGCGAGTGGTCGAAGAGCAAACGTCCATTCTGATTCCGCTGATAGTTCCGCTCGTGCGAGTGATGGTAGTCAGGTCATTTTTAAATTGGATGCCTAATCCATTACTGGCAGCACACTGACGAGGGCAGTATACGGCGATGAACCGGACGTTTCCGGTTGGTGATTCCACCTCCACACTAAGGGCCTCGATGATAGAAGTGCGGATATGCGGCAGCGTGCAGAACTTGATTCCTTTCTTGATGATGATCGCAACACCACCCCCCCTGAAGTCGGTACGATCAAGCCGGATAATGTGGTGATCAGGCAACCAAAAGCTGTCACCGGATTTAAGATGGGTCTCTGCTAGGAGGCCCACGTCGATACTATGCTTGCGGAGGAAGTCAGCAAGCTCGAGTCTTTTTGCTCTTACAGAGCATGCGTTCCATGTGACGACAGTTATCGGTTTAGACACCATATTGAATAATAAACTTACCGAGCACTTGGATCTGTTCGGGCTTGCTGCGGCACTGACGAAGAGCGCTGGTCATGTGGACGAAAATCTTCATCAGCTCATCCGCAGAGAAGAGATCGGGATTGACGTTTTCCAGAATCCAGGGGGGATGGGGAACTTTGTCCTGCAGAAACACCGTGTTGCGTAGCAGGAAGAGGTGGGAAGTCCTCCACTCTGAATGCCGGCGTATCTTCCTTCTTTCGTCCTGGTTGATTTCTTGTGGACGCCTGCTTTCGGATCCGCTTGAAATCTTCGCGTTTGGGGCACTGTTTGTCGGACCCTTGATAAGCGCCATCACAGTTGGCGCATTTGGCCGTTTCGGACCCGTCGACAACCCACTCGGAGGAGGCATGGTTTTGGGCGCATTTGCCACAGCGCGGCTTGACGAAGCAGTTTCGGGTGCCGTACCCGAAATTCAGGCAACGCTGACACTGGGTGACGTCGTGACGGCCGCCACGGTATGACTCCCATCGGACAATGATGGAATTGATGGAGCGGATGACCTTCAACGCATTGAGCGTCACCGTTCCCTTCTGGAAATGCACCAGGAAAAGGCAATCTGGATACTTCTTGACGTTCTCGTCCCTCCTTGTCATCCGGAAGACGGCAGTTGGGGCCAGCTTCTTGATCTCCGCTTCGATCAACTTCGGGTCAAAGTTCGGTAGACCGCTGATGACGACCTTGAATGGTTTCTCACCGGGAATGTCGTGGGTGAAGAATTCCACCTTGGAAGTCCTCAGGTGGGCGACGACCAAGTCATACTCCGCTTTCGTTCGAAGCATCACC